ATAAAAAATTTAAACAATTTAATATGTCATTTGAATATTTATCTGATATTTGTGAAAACTTATTTAAAAACAAAAAAGAAATTGTATTAGATATCATTCAAAAAAATTTGAATACACAAGATATTTTTTACAAAGAACGATTGGATGTTGTTTGTAATCATTTACTTAAACGATTTGAAAACGAAGAAAAATATAATGAAAATTCTGAAGATCTTGAATTCTTAAGATATTTATCTAGAAGTGTAAATAAAAAATACAATTTTGCATATTTACATTTTAGTGAATATACAGGAGATATAACAGAAACAATTTTGATAGAAATGTTTTGTAAATCAAAACTTCAAATTTGTGAAGAAAAGAGATTACTATATAATTATTATAGACTTCAATTATTATTATTACATGTTTCGGAATTTAAATATTCACAATTTTTAGATATTATCGAAAAATTATTTAAAGAAAAACTGGATGATACTTTATTAGAATATTTCAATTTATATCCTACTGATTTTATTTTTTCTAAAGATTTATTAATGATTATTTTATAAGTAGAACCATTTTACTTCACATATTTTAGAAGTGATTATAAAGTAAAGAATCCAACTCATATTGGATTTTTAAATATATATAAAACATATTCAGAATATGAAAAAGCTAAATCTTCATTATATAAAATTCCCAAAACTACTATTTTATTGAATATTAGTGAAATTATATTATGATGAATATATCAACAAAATGGATATAAGAGAAAAGGATAAATATATACGAGAAATTTTTTTAAAATTAAAAGATTGTGATATTCCAAACTTCCTTATTCATGAAGATTTTTATAAACGTTATTCTTTTCTTTCAGATGAGGAAAAAAATATTTATTATTCAGAATTTCAAAAACATCATAATAGAATTTTAATTTAAATTAAACTTTTATATAGTGAACTATAATTTTTATTATAAATATTATTTATTATATTAATTCAAATATCATTATTAGATAACTCTTTCCGTAAATCCTTTTTACACAAAAATAACTAAAAATCCGTCAGTACTAAAATTGTCAATACCTGGTTATTTTATTAAGATA